TTACAACTGACACCTGGCATCAGCAAAGCGTTCGAAGATTGACAATAACAGATGTCATGGTAAATACTTCATGGTGAGCATGTTCATATCCAAGTTAGAATCAACAAAACTTCTGGCCATAGCAGGTTTGCACAAGATGTGTGTAGGCATTCACAATCAACAGTCTGAGCGTTGCATGCCTCTGGTAGATGGAGAGCTCAGGAAGAGAAATGATCAGGCTATCAATGCATGTGGTGACAACAAAGAGGATGAGATCATCATGAATGGTCAATACATTAGTGAGCTAGTAGAGCTCATGCTTTCATGCGCAGGCGATAAGCAGATGAACCAGCTTTATTTGGATTACTCATAACCTCGAAATTTTCAAAATATCTTGATATAGCTTCTTCAAAATAGAAAATTGTGAAGATATCATAGAGTTTGTTAACGTAATGCAGAGACCCTTTCTTAGCTAAGTCCATGCCCCTCTAGGTCAGTACCCAGAACTTGTGAGATTCCTATTAGACTCTACAGATGCAATGGAGAAGATTAAATGGGTTCTCAATGAGGTACGTGGTTGAGAGACTCATACCACAAAGCATTGATCTAAAGGAATTCAATAGGATCAAAATTGGCAGACTAAGACATCATCATGTACTCTATCTGTTAGAGAAATTCCTCAATGACACTATTATCAAAGCATTAAAAATAGAAGTGTGCACAGCGCATACATAAAGCAATGAAGGTGTTAGAAGGGCGAAACAAAAATCACGGATAAAGAGCCAATCCATGTGCAACTCCTCAAATTATTACAGAACAAAGCACTCACTTACTATAGATAGCAAGAGAAGGTATATATTATCATTAATGAAGACAGCGTAACTGAGGCAAGTGACGGTCACTTATCAGACACGAAGCAAAATTTTGTTCTATGCTCTTACAAAAGTATCCATACGAGCTGCAGCCAAGGTACAGGCAGACCGATTGTTCAAAGAGCGTAAGAGACACCATTCGCACGCAAACTATACACCGAACACAGTCACACACATAGTAATGTACCAACCGCACAACACATGTGTCTCCGTCTTAATAAGTTACTGATACAAGTAAAGTGGCTGGAAGTAAAGGTCTTTTCTCCGAGGCAAACTGGACAGAGGCATCCAGCAGCACAATAGTCAACCAGTTTGAACAGGAACATGTTGGTTGCTATCATGACACAAAGGCGGATTGGGTGTGTTCACGTTAAAGGGTAAATATTTTCTAGGAGGGCTTGTCCTGGTCCGTGTTGAGAAGTTCTCCCTTACAATTCGAAGTGGTATTGACGGTGAACCTTCACTTTTATCTCCTTAGCTGTGAGACGTCGTGTGGGATGATTTTTTGTGTGTTGAGATGTACACCCGCCACTCGATTCCAGATAAGGGTGAATACTGAACGGGAATTTGTCCGGAGGACTGGTACGTGTCCAGGCAGGTCTCGTAAGTGAAGCGAGTGGGTTTGCACTGTTGATCGAATCAAGATGCAAACCCAGGTAGAAGCCAGTTCCGAGTCTTCAAACATGCAACTCCCGAATTGAGTTGTGGTACCAACGTTTTCTCTTGCGATGATGATAAAACTACCATAGTTTACACGATAGTGCAAAACTAGCTTGTGCTAATGTGATTGTCTGACAATCAATAAGCCGGTAAAATAGAGTATTGAACGATCGAACACACTTATACTACCAAAAAGAGCATGTATGAAAGTAGGTCGGTACTTACGCTTTCTCTTTCGATTTGATAAAATGCCATGATCTACACGATAGTACACAACTAGCACGTGTTTATATTGTTGACTGACAAGCAATGAGCCTGTAAAATTAAAGTTTAACCCATCGGACACACTTTATACCAAAAACAAAAAAAGAAGGAAAATGGTTCGAACAGCAATGGGTCCCAAGTCTTTGTAGCCCCTTCACATGTGGGGGCAATTTAAAATCAATAAAACCCCAAGTTTCTTGATTTTATCTTTAAGATTTGCAGCATGAATGCGACCAGTCGATATTTCTGTCATTCTGAGTTGTTGACACCTGCGACAAATATATACCGAAGTAGTTAGTGACGAGAATGGATCTATAGAGATAAAAATTTCTTAGTGTATTTCTTGATTGTTTGTATTTCTTGAATGTGGCTGAAGCTAAACTTAAATTATTTTGATATTGACAAATTTACGTATATTTCTTCATAGTACAAGATAGTCAGCCTGCTTAAAAGGACTTCAAATTGCTCAGCACGACGCGAGCAAATCATTTTGGTTAATTGTATCGTACAGGTTTTCCGTTGGTTGATCACGTGAGGTGCCCGACATTGGCAATCCTTAGTATCATTCTTAAACTAAGAAAGCACCATCTCGAGTTTACTGTTTGCACACGATTATGCGAACGTCCAGCAGTAAGGAAAGCCGGAATTGAAGCCGTAACAACGGATTGTATTATTGTTCGGATTCCAACTAAATTGTACTCGCGATTACAGTAAACCTTGCATGAAGCAAAACTTGAATTTGCATATCAATCACCAGTATGTTTGTTTCATTGTCTTATTCGGTCTCCCTTTTCTCTGAGAATCGTTCACTGTTGCATCACCTTGAGGTGACTTATGTACGATTTTGTTGGTCGTTAAAATGCCATTTATTGTGTGTGATTTTGTATTTAGTTGTCAAGTAAACAAATTCGCGACTGCCAAACCTTCATGCACTGTTTCACGTTCATCAGTGAGATAGCCGATATGTCTGGATATCAAAGACAGTTCACAAACATATATCAAATAGGTATAGTAGGTTGCAAGCTTAAATATGCATTTCAATCACCAGTGTGTTTGCTTCATCGTCTTATTCGGTCTCCCTTTTCTCTGAGTATCGTTCACTGTTGCATCACCTTGAGGTGACTTATGTACGACTTTGTTGGTCGTTAAAATGCCATTTATTGTGTGTGATTTTGTATTTAGTTGTCAAGTAAACAAATTCGCGACTGCCATACCTTCATGCATGGTTTCACGTTCATCAGTGAGATAGTCGATATGTCTGGATATCAAAGACAGTTCACAAACAAATATCAAATAGGTATAGTAAAACAATTCCTTCAAGGTTCCTTCAAGTCACCTTTTTATTTCCGTTTTTCTAAAGGATATATTTCTAGAATAATCTACGAAGACTTTTATATTTTTTTTCGGTTGCAAGCTTAAATATGCATTTCAATCGCCAGTGTGTTTGCTTCATTGTTTTATTCGGTCTCCTTTTCTCTGAGAGTCGTTCGTTGTTGCGTCATCTTGAGATGACTTATGTACAACTTTTTAGGTCGTTTAAATGTCAGTTATTGTGCGTGACATGGTATTTAGTTGTTAAGTTAACATATTCGCGACTGCCAAACCTTCATGCATGGTTTCAAGTTCATGAGAGAGATAGCCAGTACATGTCTGCAGATGCGATATCAAAACCTGTCATAGGCATATAACGAATAGGTATAGTGAAACAACTCCTTCAAGCCCCCTTTTTGTTTCCGCTTCAGGAAATATTTCTAGAATAATCTTTGAAGACATTGGTATTTTGTCAGTTGCAAGCTTAAATTTGCATATTAATCACCAGTATGTTTGCTTCATCGTTTTGTTCGGCCTGCTTTAATTTGACAGTCGTCCTTGTCGCATCACCTTGTTCTTGTCGCATCACCTTGATGCATGACTTCGTAGGTCGCTGAAGTGTCAATTATGTGTGATTTTGTATTTATTTGATAAAGAAAAATATTAGCGACTGCCATTTTTCTTATGCCTGGTTTGAGGTTTCACGTTTATGAGTGAGATAGCCAGTATATGTCTGCAGATGCGATATCAAAGGTACTTCACAGACATAACAGACATAAAAGAAATAGGTATAGTGAAACAATTTCTTGTCCCCTATTATTTCCGCTTCTCAAAAAATAATTTCAGAGTAATCTTGGGAGACATTGGTATTTTGTCTAACTCGAGGGTCATTCTGGGATGACCTTCACGATAAACTCGACACTACGTATACTGCAACCTAGCAATGCTCATAATCGGCCAAGCTTCGCATCTAATCTTTAGGTGCATGTACAGTTAAACACAATATTTATTATACCTAGCAGAGTTTTATAGCGTTCAATTTATGAAGGCAAGGCTCCGTCTGGATACTCGGCCTTCATCCCATGATATAGAATGGCTAGTTAAAAAAAACAACTTTCATGAACATGTTTGATGCGGCACGCAATACAACCCGGCCTCGGCGGTATGGTTTGAACTTGCCTTGTACTTGATTCTGTATATGTAGAGAACGACCGGCAATAAGAATGACATGTTCATGATTATTAAGAGCACAGTACCAATAGAACACAATGCTCAAAACTTTGCATTTAAAATGCATTTCCTTTAGAATTTGTTGTATACTGTAGCTATGCGCTTTCATTTGAGGATTATTTAATAGAAATGAAGTATGGCAGAGATTTACTATCTGCTGAATGTTTTCAGACGCGGATTTCTATGAAATACCGCCCACTTTAAAAGATACGACAATTTGAATTAAAAAACATCTTTGGGTTATGATATCTAAGGTATAAATACGCTTTTTTATTTGGCATTACCAGAATATGCTTAAAGTCATATAGGGATAATATTATTTATTTTATTTTGGATAAAGTTTTGTATGTCTACATGTACATCAGGCTTCATATACGTTGGAGAGGTTCTGGGAAAATTGAAGGGAAATTGAGATCGTCGAACTGCCGCGAGTAGCTCGGGGCGAGTGGTCGTCATATAGTACTTGGCTTTCAACTTTACCCGTGGTTTGAACAGGCAGACTGCTTTTGTAAATCCTATCCTGCTGGTTGTTCTGTGCCAGGGCACCATATCTGGAGCCACCAATATCGACTCAACACCTTACAGTTGATACAAGAAGATACTTTCGCATGTCGGTATATAATGTCCGTCGTAACCAAGCTATACGAGATACTTTGGAGGCTCAAGGTCTCGATAACCTTGAAAACTCTTTTTAAATCTGATTGATTTCGCTTTTACTTTGGTTTCCATTTTGCCACTATATGAGCAATCACACTGTAATCGAACCAACGCAAATGAATAATGCATCAGAGCACTGACTAAATATTAGCATTACTAGAGACTTGGAGCTCAATCATGAATACTTCTGTCGAAATACTCGCACTGTTAACACTGCTGTACTCCACAACGGATAATAGCACAAAATGACAAATACACTACGAATTAAATCAAAGAAGGAATCAACGAAGACGAAGATATTTCAATCAGCAGCAAATTCAGCAGAGATTCTGGGAGGAATACTTGAGTAAAAGCTCAAGCAGTTGGCCCCGTCATACAGCCGGGCTCTATCAATTACTCTCGAATCACCCATGGTCAGTGATATGTGTATCAAGTTCGATTTTCCGCTCTGATAACCAAGGTTTAATAATCAAATGTGTTAGTTCCGGATAACTGTTTATCAGCTCATTTGAACCCCTTTTCGGCTAAACTACAGCAGACAATTGCCCGGGAGTAATGGTATCTACCCTAGAATTCATTGAAATCCCGTTGTCTGCTCAAAAATCATGCTAGCAAATGACTACCCTTTAAAGAACTCTACTGGTGTCACCTATTTCCAGTGTCCGTCTGAACGCATGTTTTATGAAATGCATGTGCTTGCGACCTCGATTTTCTGTTATGCCGTGATATTAGTTTAGCACATGGGCACGGATTGATATTAAACTATTCAGCTCCTTCCAGCCTACTATTTTTTTTCCCGGCTCAACATTTTTACCAACAGTTTCCATTTGATGTATTCAATCGGTCCACTTGGCTTCGAATTCTCCTCATGTATCTTGCTCGATACTTTATTTGAACGGTTTGATTTTTTTTTTACACCAGCATTTAATCCTCAGGAAGCTGCAAGTTGCAAGCGTTATTCCAAACTTGTGGTGTAGTTTTGACATAAGAGAAATTGTATGTACACAGCAGTTTATTTAGTTAATTACACCTGCCTCCTTCAGCTTAGACACCAACTCATCGACATCTGCAACCATTATACCGGCCTTGCGAGCCTCAGGCTCGGTGACCTCCAGAACTGTTACACGCTTGTTCGCCTCAACACCTAGATCCGCAAGGGAAATGGAACTGTCGATCTTCTTCTTCTTAGCTTTCATGATGTTTGGCAGGGTGGCGTATCTGGGCTCGTTCAATCTAATGATTTCAGAATGGAGAATATTTAAATAGCGTCCAGTTGTCCATCTCCCATATACATCGTGTAGCAAGACAGATTCAATTCACCACAATTGGCAAATCAACAACACTAAAAACTCTTGGCAACCCGAAACAAGATGTTGTATGACCAACAGCAATTCAAATTACACAGTATGATCATCGATACAATCAAAAATCGATCACATTATTACAAATCAACTCACCGGAGATCGGCAGAGATCACAGCTGGGAGTGACGTAGTGATAGTCTCGAGTCCTCCATCGATTTCACGCACTACCTTGGTTCCGTCAGCATCAACTGTCACCTCAGAGGCGTAAGTAGCTTGAGGCCAGCCCAAGATACCCGCTGTCATCTGTGCGGTCTGGTTGTTATCACCGTCAATGGCTTGCTTACCTGCAGCGTGCAATAAAACTGTCATGAGATACTCGCAAACCAACGACGATGTGGTGTGCGTGATGTCATTCCTGATGTATGTAGAGTTATTGTTTTCAATCGACGATACAACGCTCACAGGGATATGCTGATCTCAAGTCAAGTACTGCGCAACATACAGAAAGCAAAGTCAAAAAGACGTACTGTTTACACTGGTAGATCGCTATAAGTACGCTTGTCATTCGGAACAACCTTCAAAAACCCTTCTTTATGCTTCCCGGAAAATCAAACTAAAAAAGGGACACACACGCACATCGATTCAAGCCGTCGACACATCTAATTGTAGATCACTATATTTCCAGTTGCGGCTTCAATACCCTGAAACCCTAGACAAAGACTATACCTCACGCGAGACAGACAGTTGTTTTAATACTAGATTGGTTCTCTGAAAGACACAAGCACCAATTGGGGCATACATATACACTTTCGCCGAAAAAGTTTTATAACGAAACACAGTTCACAACATGATCTAGTAATCATGAGCGTAGGACACCTACCGGTGAGAATGAGGTTAGCACCCTCTTTCTTCGCCAATCCTGCAAAGATCTTGGCAATGACTAGTGGCTCGGTATCTTCTGGACAGTCGATGTGGATGCCTCTATCAGCTCCCATCGCGAGTGCAGTTCGGATAGTTTCCTGACTCTGGCGTGTTAATGATGTTTGATCGATTAATTGGAGATTTCCAAATGTTTCATGCAATTGTTCAAATTCAAGCAAACGGGCTTTAGGGTTACATCGACATACGGCAACGAATTCTGACTTGAAGCAGTGCATGTGTGTTCGATAAAAAATAATGGTAGTGAAAATTACTGCGGGGGATGCCACCCAGAGAGCACACGAATCTAAAAAACGGCATCTGGTGGTTTCCATGTAAATGTACAAGTTAAACCTGCTCATTTCGGTTACAGTAGGACTATACGCAAAGAGCAAGTCCCATTAGGCACGAAGGTCGCTCATAACCATTAAGAGTGTTCACAGTACGGAACCGAATACGACAAGTAAACCTGTGGAATATCTATGGCAATCTAAATTTGACCTATGGCTAAGCCAGAAACATGATCTCCCATGGAGGGGGCCCCTCTACGATTGTGCGGATACGTAAGATGCGGACAAACAAACACATACAAACCAACAACTAGCCCACTTCGATTAATGTCCATCACATCGGTATATGTAAACCGTGCGCATAGGTTGTGGTGGCTTAGAGAGCTAAAATGTGTATCACCACACTGACTACTTAAGCGACTCGAGATAAAGCCTACAAATACTTGTGCGGAATATCGCGAGAGAAGTGCAAATCAAAATTTGATGCACATTCCACATTCGTGTAAAATATAAATGAATATAAAATTGCTATTCTATATGTACGAATAAGCATAAATTCGAGCATGTCGCAATACGAACACAAAAATGAGCAATACACACACCAAGCCCACGGAGCATATTCCAGCGAAGTCTCCTCACCAGGAATGCGTAATGCACAAAGAATACGCACCAATATAAACAACATCAACAATTCCTCAAGGTACTGACAACAGTAGCCCGTAGAAGACAGGCAAATACACGCATACTAGCACATTGATCGAATCTTCAATAAGACACGCACACATCCTGTCCTTAAAAGCCTCCAGCAGAAGAGTAGTAATTTCAGTTTCGCGAAAGTCGCCATACAATGAGAATACTGCATACCCACACCCACATACCGACTTCGGGCCACAGCTGACAGCGATAACCTCACTGACCACCTTCTTCTGCTTCAAGCGAAGTGCCTGAGGTTTTTGTAATATCAATATTATTTATCAGTAAGAAACTGCTTCGGTGTATACGCCAATGCATTCGACTCACGGGTCATTAGAGCTAAACCATTGCGAAAAAATAAGAACTACCGCCCTGTGTCATTTAATCTTCGATTCGTGTTTGAAATGCGACCTATACGATGAAAGTAAGTCGCTGATTCGGCACGGGTTTACGAGAAAAAAATGTAAAGGAATAACAATCCTTAAAATAGCAACACTTCACTAGACTGTGTGATGATTATTAAGAAGCTGGGGATTTTGGCCAGTGATGATTGACAGCTATACAAAGAGAATACCTTACAAAAACAATTGACATAGATCTTATGTCTAACATTTTTTTTACTAGGTTACAGAATGTACTTCCTGGTATGTATGTGGATGGCTGATTTTTTTCTACATTGTAAAAGTCCGATGATTTATATTACTGCGCGTCAGAAGATGGTACACAGCGCACTATATGGAGTGTACAGTTACATTATAAAGAAGGTTATCGATGAGATATGGTGCATTTAAACACCAGATAATTTAAGCAGGAGCCGCTCTTAAAAAGACGGTATGAAATAGTGATAGCCAATAATTAAACACAGCGACAATCGAAACGCTCGAATACGAATATACAGTGGCACTACACGTAGTTTTCAATCCCGTCTCATTTCCAATCCGGAAATATTTAACTTCTGCATATATTGTACGTATCACAGGCGTTGTATGAATGTTGTATATATAAGCTCTGTATTGAACCTCATACACAGCAACAACGGTGTAAATATAAACATGCACAGCAACATCAACATATAATTACCTCTTCCACAGCAATCTCATCGAAGGGATTCATGCTGTGCTTAACACCGGCGGTGACGATCCCAGACTTGTCGGGTTTCACACGGATCTTTACAGCATAGTCTACGACTCGCTTCACTCCGACTAACACTTTGGACATTTTGGTTGGATAAATCTGTGGTGACAAATATCAAAAAGACAGGATTTAAGCAGGTCTCGACCATGATTTATCTACATATGAGATATAAGCACTTTTATATTGGCTAAGTGTATCTGTGCATACGAGATCGAGGTATCCCGGTCACCTCAACAGAAATCGAATACTTGAATGCATAGAAGGCAGCAAGTACCGACCAAGGACCTAGAGCATCTCATCTAACTCATACTATCAGTTACAGGTGTACCGATCCGAAAGATAAGCTGTACTTGTGTACTGATCGCGATGTGAATACATGTACAACGTATGAATACGATATACGGGACAATTAGCTGAAATATGTGAGAAAGCAAATAGAATGGTGTCAAAAATTTGAAAATATCAACACAGACTTGCTGGGCAACACTCCAATACGAGTGACGGCCATCCGCTGTAAACTGAAACTCCTGATCTCAATACAGCTACGGTAGATCGCATAACACGGTGCGAGCGCTAGGTATGTCTCGCCTTCATTCAGCAGCCATAATATCTAAAACCCCACATATAAATCGAAACGCAGACACACGTATGGTATGAATATTTTGCACGCACGGGTGATAGGGAGGAGGTTCGAAGAATGATGTTTCAAGTAGTGCATCAAACAATATTAAACTCACCTATACAATTCCGCTAGACTATGTTGTATGCGGATGTGTGGGCTGCATATGCGGGTTGACTATTATAGATAAATAAATATATATTATCTTAGTGTCTTTGTTCCCATCTCTCGCTTCTCTTGCAGATCGAGATCACGCAGATGTCGATTGTCGGCTCTATAGTATTTTGTGTGTTTACTTTCTCAACAGTGTCACGAGTTTAGCTCATGACGACTGGCTGACGGATTTGGCTTCTCAATTTTTCGTTTCCAACAACGATATTGAACAAATAGAATAAAAAAAGTATGTTACAAACTACCTGTATTAATTTGTAGACGATTATGTTGTATAGTCTTTTTTAAAATACTTTCCCTGTGCACAGGGCGGAAACGGGAATTGTACTATTTTTGGTACAAAAACTATTACGTGCCATTTCAAATTATGAATATAGAACATATGTTTATTTCAATCTAAATAAATTTCTTTCGTCTCTTCCTTCCCATTTCCTCCGCTGTAGCGTTGAATATTATGATAAAGTGAGCACTATGTATAAAATGACAGAAAAATATTGTTTGACTCTACTACATAGGAGACTAGTATGTAGTGGACTAAACTTTCGAAGACGGAGACTTGGACTCGGGACTCGGGACTCGGGAGTCGGTATAAATACATAAGTCGGTGATACATAGTCCTAAAAGCATTCTCATGTATAATAATCAATAAGTAAACATAACCTTCAGCACACGACCCTCTCTAGAAGTGTACAATTTAAAGGAGAACGGACAAGTCCGTAGGACATCAGCATTGCATGTTGCACACGCTGATCAAGAATGTAGAATACGAATACAAGTACGCATAGCTGCTGGCGAATTTTTCGTTCTTACACTGCGGCGATTTTTTTGATTATATATATTGTACTGGACTAAACGATCCTCTAATTGTAAACTTTAAAATGACCATTTAAGTGAATGAACTTTGGTGACTGTTGATTGTGTCCCCTTGAGAAGAAACGACACCTCTACCGGATACAACAACTTCTGATATGCTTGTTCGAATTGTCTGGAAACACGAGGTCATCCCCTGGCTAAAAAAAAACTAACCACGTCTCGGAAATCTTGCCTGGCAGCACACTTAAGTACAGATCGATCCACATCCGTCGTGCGGACTGTAGGATCCGCCAATAGTAACCCTACCACCTCCGGATGGTCTGTTGTAATCGCAGCGTGTATAGAGTCGTGATTCTCTGTGGGGTCCACGCGCGCGTCATTTAATAGCACGCGCACAACTTCCGTATGACTTTTATCTGACGCTGAAGTTAGCGCGCGATTGTCCAGTGCATCAGGACTCACGCGCACATCTGCGAGAAGGTACTGCACTATACCTGCAAAACCTTGACTGGCTGCCAGGTGCAATGCGGAATTATTATATTGTGAGACGTCACGCGACTCGTCAGCGAATATTAGTCTCATATAGTCAAGTAACCCAAATAGGACCGTGTTTAGCATTACGTTGAAAGTGAATAAACGTTCGTGTAGCTTGCAATTGCGAACAATAAATCTGCATAATTCTCCGGTGTCCAAAGGGCAACTGTTTAGCAGGTGATCTATTTTCCGAATCTGCCGCGCGGGGGAGAATCTGATTTCAAAGTCGATTGGTATGGTTGTCACAAGATGGTTTGCGTGTACATTTACACGCTTGCCTACTAAATATGCAATGAGGGCGGGGTCACTGATGCAGTGCATTCTCAACGTACGGCAAGACGATGCACAGCCAGCCAGGTCTTTGAGGTCTAGATAGGAAACACTATGAGCCAAAGCTCTGGGGACATCAGATCGATCGCCGGGCACACATTTCGCGAATGCAATTGAGCTTTTGATATAGGTATAGTAGGAGGTTGCGATACGTTAGGCGGGTTAGGGCCAGTCTTGAATTTATACCCTACCATTTACAATTGCTCGTACATCTATATTTCGCTTGTTGACTTTGTCAGAGAAAAGCCCATATAACAAAAAAAACGAACATATTTATTTACAATTTGGCATAGGTATGAAATCGTTTATAAGTTTATTTTATATCATATACATATATACACAGATATAAAATTTCACTGCGACTCATAAATTTCAATGTGTCTCGTATTGATTTGGAAGGGTGGTTGCATAGCCACGAACGCATTCATGGTATGCTATTTTCCTACACCAATCGCAGGCACTTGAGGCGATCACTCTCAAAAAGCCCTAAAGCAACTATGCACATAGCAAGTTAATTGTGACAGACAACCTTTAATATATCAACTTTTAAACTCAAGCTGCGACATCTTGTTGAAAAACAAGTTTTGATTCGTTCTTGTAGCACGCAATTATTGTAAAATTTTACCACTGAATATTATTTGCTACTGTTCATGTGAGATTTCCCACCAAATTCTGAGCATAATCGCTATACACGTACCTTTTGTCAATGTTTTTGTCGCTGCGTGTACGGAATGGAGCCAGAGTTCGTGCAGAGTTCGAAATTCAAACCTCAATTTCCAGCGGAGACATAGTTGAAGATGTTTCCTTGCAAAAGGGATGCAAGACACGTCTATCACAACCCGGCATACATCGTCCTCAACAGGGCATACATCGTCCTCAACACGGCAGACCGAAGTAAGGGTCGGTATTACGAATAAAACATACTTCCATCCATGAGCGAGTTGTATAGTTGTCCTGCATTTACTTCAGGATACTCTCAGTCCAGTCCATCATAAATTTTTATAATTTTGTAAGTAAAACACAAAAGCTATACATACATATCTGCATAGTGGAAGAGAATATACGTCTGCGCATCTTCTGAGCTGAACAGAAATCCCGAATTTCTGAAATAAAATACTTTTAAAGCGTCAATACCACTTAAGATAATTTAGAAATGATCGTGATTATTGCCTATGTGGAAGGAATGTTCTTGGCCAATAATAAAGAAATGAAGTGTTATTCGGTCTATATGGCATGTCGAACAAAAGTTAGACACCCAAGAACACAATTGAATGCTAAAAAATGCCAAGATGATGAGATAAGTGTGATGCGGCAATTTGCAATGGAAGGGTCGAGGTGCGAGGACAATTAAATATCCACTAAACTAATAATCAACTGGTCGAGGTTTCCGAATTCCCAGGGGTTCCTATGTTCCTATTGTCATATAATTGTATGGACTTAGAACTATTTATTGGCGTAAAATATCACTGATAAAATTTCCGCGTATCTGGGAAACCCAGGCTCCTTCTTTCTTGTGAGCGTATGTAGGCTTAGAATATGATTCTTTCAAAAGGGTACACCGTACACATGTAACTATGTACGTGAATACTGTATTTTTATTATTATCGCTCCCTCTTTTTCAATTTGGTAATCCCCGACGATTACTTATCGATGTGCTAAATCTCAGCTGGTATCAGAAAACATATTTGAGAAGAGTATGTGCACTGGCCAGGATCATTGATATGTGACTCATTATTCAGGAGTGAAGAGAGAGAGCAAGTATTTACTATTTATTGATAGGAGGCCGCTTTCTCTCCAGAGATACTTCACAAACTTAAAAGTCGCACGGCGTCAGTCGTCACTGGAGCCGTTAGACGAACCACATTGGCCAGTCTGGCAGTCATCCACCACACACAGGACATGTGTGGTACACTGATGCGGCAATGTATTTAAGACTTATAAATAATCACGATTCACGACACTGTAGTGTGTACTCTCTCGAGAGTAGGAAAATGAGCGAAAATCGGGTTCAAAAAATCAAATCAATTTACTTTTTAGCGCGGATGTACGATTGGTCGATTGTACGTACAATTTAGTATATATTTTGAATTTTCAGAAGGCTACTTATGGGAGTTGAGAGTTGAGAACGCGAGTCTTGAGACCCCACTCTGTGGAGGCACTGGAGTCTGGAGGGTCTTGTAACATTACGTTTGTTTTAAAACAAAACTATTAGAGTTAAAAAAGGGTTTAAAAAATAAAGCCACAACTTTCTGTAGAACTGTACACCGCTATTCAAAAAATAAATATATTTCAATAAAATATCTCAATCCAACTTTTTGCGGCCCTTTTATTACTACCAAAATATATTGTAATATTATAAAAAACCAAACCAAAACATCTATATTTGTTTTAAAAATAAATATAAAGCGATTAAAAACCAAACAACGGTAAAGAATACAAATATTTATGCATGTAAATACAGTTATTACAGTATGTACTTATTGTTTTGAAATAAAAAATAGGGTTTTATGTATGAGTGCAATAAATAAATATGTATTTCTGTCGCCTTCTTGGATTGGAATGTGAAACATTTTAATGCATGCTTTTGCTTCCAAAGAAGAAAAAGCTGACAGTTTGAGTTGAGTGTTGAACTGTTGTGAACTTGTGACTCAATATCAAAAACAAGGGAGCTTGGTCAGAGATTCTAATTTCTATCTAGTGTTTATTTTATTATTTTTGTTTTGTTAAAAAGAAAAAAGAAAAACAACACATATTTCTGAAATTGAGACACAGCAAAATTTTGTTTAAAAAAAACCCCCCCCAAGAAGAAAATGCATAGCCCTGTGGCCTGTGTAATTGTGTATGGCTGTAGCTCAAGTCTAAAATATACAGAAAAATGTGCCCCTTTTTGGTGACAAATATTATGTGATTTTGATTCGAAAATCAATATAAAATATCAAGTCTGTCTACTACTGTAAAGTGTAATCACTGAATATGAACGAAGACTAAATCACCGCGCAAATGGGTATGTATTTAGCCGCCAGGATTAAATAATATGAGAGATGATTAACAAAAATATATGACGTCGATGGTTCTATGTCATCATTTCATGGGGTTACCAGACCATAAGATCGAGGTGTTCGCGAGGTCAAATCATAGAGATCTAAAATTAAATGGGTACCTTAATATAAACTAGGGTTCTGACTTATGAAATACCTTTCTAGCTGATAAGCAAAGTTAAAAAAAAATAGAGACCCGTCATGCTCACGCGTTCACTTAGGTATAGGGAATGCCAACAATCTCGCACATGATCCGGAGCTTTCTGGAATGTAGGAATGTTGTTGCAATCACTGGCGCCGAATCAAACCCCCCCTTAAGGCATGCCAGTAAAGGCATGTAAGCATGCAAATAGAGGTGCATGCAAGTATAAATACAAAGTAACGAAACTTCGGCTTTGCCATAAATTAAGAAATGAATTGCACACTGTTTTCACAAGCTCCTCTCCGTCATTATGCAAATAGCTAAATTATTATTATTGTCATTTGTTTTAGGCGGATCTGAGGTCATCGGAACAGATTGTCAGTCTGGTACAGGTAGGTTCTATAGGCCATTAATGATATTGGCTTAAGCGGAGCAGTATATAGCCTTGAATACTAAACTTTCGATATATAGTAACAACAATGCATACATTCACTATATCAGGTGAGCTACTCGATGGTCAATTCTGTCTATGCCAAGCGGAGTATGTGGGTAAAATAGCTGATCCCACGGAATGTATCCTGTCAACAACTGAAGACCAGCAGTGCACCACATCTAACTCAGCTTCATTGGGTATGTCAAGTCTTTCAAATTGCAACGCACATGCAAGAAGTTAATTTATATCTTTTCAGGAGTCATATACAGTCAAATGTGTTTATTTTATTACATATACATATCAAATAGCTATGCAGGACACGCTTGGCATCGTAGATATTACATCAAACGCACAAGACGGTGACAATATCGATTTCACGCTCGACCAAGAACCAGTAGTGGGTAGAAGGTGAGTTGCTGATTTCCTGGTACATTAGATATTGCTACTTTAACGCCGCAAGCGCAGTACATATTGTTTCGATATATGAATGGCGATTCTTTTGGACAGCATTTCATGGTGCGGTTGTTTGTTGTTTCTGGATTGCCATCTAAACATTGTTGGCATGACATTCATATACCAATATCGAAACAGAATTCAATGGATCAGCCTAGGAAATTGTAATATATCAACAGAGAACTATCAACTTTCGACTGGAATTATAGGCCTCGCAATGCTACCAATGGTGGACTGCAAAAATCGGTTTTTGTTGACTGTTTCATTTCAGGTAAATCACTGACGTTCTTGAAATGCTATTTGCAATTGTGACAGATCTAGAGCCCCTCACAGGATGTAACAACATTTTCATATTTACTTTGCCGATTTGGAATGTATCCCATTGCATTATACATTATACCCTTCAAAGCGGCCATCTTAATGGCAGTGGTATTTTTTTCTGCTTGATGACCAGTTTGCTCATTTTTAATTGCCGAGCAATATAATATGGCTTTTAGCTGTTCTAATCGAGTTTCATTACTTAAAAATTAGGAGTGCTTCAATGACGGTGGCATAGAACGTACTTCAGACACAGATGGGGAGTACTGGCTCTTTACTGGAGTTCTTAGATACGGATTTATCACCCCAATCCCGGACTTCATTTACCAATCTCGACAAGGAGACTACCGACAAGATTTTTCATTTAAGACCCCCAGGAAGATCACTGTCACGGTCGATGACTTTGACACAACGTGAGTACAATCATATTGCATCATTCTGTTCCTGAGTGAATTTGAGATGACAGCTCGCGTACAAAGTTGTGGGAAACTAGAGGGTATGCTTTACAAGCACACTACAACAAAACAGCTGAAGCGGCAATTCACATTTGTACTCATTTTTTTTTGCCTCTGTTTTATGTCAGGATCTATTCGGACGTGTATCATCCGCAGCCTGATATCAGTGTGCAAAGCGTTACCTTGGGTAAAGGCACTAATGGCACTAGTACAATTGTTTTACGGTCCGTATTGATATCTCCATTCTCACTTGTGGACTATCCTGTATCTGTACCTCTTGGAAAGTACGATTCCGTTCTTGGGACGCGAAATATTCCCTCCGAGCTATCTATTTCTAATATCTGTGAAGGCAACAACTACGGTCTGTTCGTATGTATTCAGGTATGTATCAGTTTCTTGCGCATACACAAGGTAGTAAGTATTCGCGATCGAATGCTTTGCTGAGACTCTGACCGCCAATAATCAGTTTCAGTTACATTTCAAGATGCAGGTTGCCATTCAGGGCTATAAACAGTTGTAAGCATTTTAATCCATAATTTGTTCATAAATTCACTTCTTGCATTTTTTTGATTTCGATTTCTAGTATCTGACGTTTACTGTTCAGCATAATGGTCACTGCTCCCTGGATGGAATCTACCTTTTCAAAGGAGTGCCAGTGCGATGTCCCGAGACTTGGCAGCCGAACCAGAGTCAGTTGCACTTCTATCAACCTACTATGGTCGAGGCGTGTCCATCATCTTTTTTGGTATGGACCATGTGTTAGCACTATAGCGCGAGAGAACCGCTCATCGTTCATGTGGATAGTTGATCATGTAAATGTCGGTTACAGAATCCATCCTCGCTCAGGTGTTGATCTTCAACAAGCACGATTGTTACCACTTACAACATTTTTATCATCGGTTCAAGAATATCACCAAAATATTGACAACACTGACGTGGATACATACACACGATCTGTCCATTCTAGCAGATTGTGTGATCTCATCCCACCTGACTAACAACTTTCTCGCTGATAGTATTGTGAGATGCATTTGATCCAAAATCTGACATGCTGCTATATTGTTCCCTACTTTTCACAGTCAGATTTTGCAATCAGTCTAGATTCACCAGTCATCTGCAATAAAACTGACCATCAGTTCATGCTTGGCGCCGATCCCGTCGCAGCCACTGTTTCATAGTATGTGAATCCCTTTATTACACGAGCAACACCGGGCTCATTCGAGCACGACTTTTAAAATTCGAATTTATGAAGAAGCCTCTCGTTTAAATTTGGCCTCTGATATCCTTATACTGTCTTATTCTATTATGTTTCTTCGTCCGCAGTTACACATCGGAAAATGAAAATGCTATCACAGATGCTGGCGCAGTTAGCGATGTTGATCTCAGAACTGTATTCCCCGCGGTATGCGATTACTGCCTTCATCATGTCCAATTTCATACTGCAGATTCGAGTCATTCTGAGATCAGTCTGTATGTCATACATACCACTAGGCACATTAGGTATCTGCAAAAAGTGCTTTTGGTCCCTGCCTCAAACGAACAAATTCTTTTGATTACTGATGACACAACATGAGACATGAGAAGCTTTGGCAGCTGCAAGCATCGCCAATTTATAATGATAGCGGATTGAAGTTTCATTGGCTTGTTGCTGCCGTTAAAAATATGCCTAATTGGCCTAACACTTATTTGCATACAGGGTACCCCTATCTTACTAGAGTATGGACTTGAGACACCTAATGGCTGGGCCATCAGTGATCTGCTTTCGGTATGCACAAACATTGTCTACAGCACTCAAGCGGCTTATTATTGTCCTTCAGATCCTCTTCGTTCCGCGTCAAAAAATGTTAGGCAGCTTGCAAGTCGCCACTTTCATAGACTATCATGATTCCTGTAGAAATAGTCGTGCTCTAATCCCTCGTGGTGCACGCGATTAAAACTTATTAATAGTATTTGTTTTCTCCTACTTTCTATATCATAGTTGAGTCGCCGCATCAAGGAATGTGCAATACCACGAAAGGTCGTCACAGGATCACTCACTAGCTGGGCTCTGCTACAGTATGTAATTTTTATTCTTTCGGAATATGTCAGCATGAGTGATAAGATTGATATCTCATTTTAGAGGGAAACTTTCGCATACATTCAGAACCGATAACTACTGCGCACGACCTCCAAACGTTCACGATAAAATATTCACTTGCCACCGTCTCCTTCAATAACAGGGGCAATACGATGTTTCGGGGTTTCCTAGCCCTGGACGATGATGTCACATGCTCGAGGAATGACGCTACAGTAACACTTATTTTCAAATTCAAGTTCGTGAAAGTTGTGCGGAGAAGGAATGCCGAGCGTGGGCGCTTGTATGATCAACGAATTGAGCTTATCAGAGAGTTTGCGAGCGACAGCTCCATCAACGACGCGCAGCGGACAAGATCAGTGCTCTACGCTATGAGAGAGGCAGAGGATGAATGGTTCATGAGTATGTACACTGACACAGAAACTGCGTACAAATACGGTGATGAACATCGATTGATTCAAAGTCATTTTGGAGGTGACAATGTTAATTATGCCGCTCTATTTGAGGACTTCGTGGACAGTGAGCAAGAAGAATACGACTCCTACGTGGCGGCAGGGCTCGAGCATTCTGTGTATGAGCAAATGGTTGCCGCAACTCCAAAGACTGCAAGCGCAAGCAGGAGAAGCCTTGGGTCGGTTCCCGACTATCAGATATCTACACCACCACTATATAGATCTCGACGAGATGAAGGCTCGGGGGAGGGCTCCGGACCTCTAGATGTAGGAAATGGGACAGAAACACCTGAGGGGGGAAATGCTATACTTGTACCGGTGGTTGGGAGTGTTGCAATCACATCGTTCTCGAAAGGCCTTACGAAATACAGCACCTCGACCCTCAAATTCAAAACGGTGCTAGAGCCTCCTTATGCTATAGATCAGACTTTAGATTGGACAGCAGAGGTAAGCGATCACTGGGATGAGGGTAGTACAGGACAGCAACCGCTCCCTGCCGCTGCCGTGATATCACCAGCCACTTGCTCTGGGAATATAACTTGCGTCCAAACCTGGACTGTGGATATCGATCATGCCATGGTGAGTACGCTCGTTAATTCGATGAGATTTTTGTTTGCATTGGTTGTGCTTTATACCATCTTTTCTTAATTTCTATGACCGTGATTTTCACAACCAACATTCCTCCGATTTTCAACTCACCATAGGCATGCCAGCTTCAGGGCGGGTACAAGTTTATGGATGTCTATACCCGGTGTCAAGATAATCTACCTAGCAATACAGAATGCGAAGCTGTCAACTACTTCACATTCCAGATTAATATCACTGATATCGTAAGTACTTTGTCTGAGATCAGTATCTGTTGCAGCCATATACTGTTGAAATTGATCTCTTTACTCATTTTAAATCACCACCATCACTTACATAGTCTTTATAAACTCACCGATTCTGCTCTCTGTCACGACAGAACGTGTGCGAGAAAACGGAGACATTCGTTGACGACGTGTACTCGATGGCAATAACTGCGGACCGCAACAGCATCATTTATGATGATGAAATGGACTACACACTTACCCTTACTGAATTGGCGAGTCTTGGCCAGTACATGGATGCAATAACAATACAATCGATAACTAGCACGGCAGATAGCTGTGCGCCAGACGTGGATATAATGCCCCAAACATCTATCGTACATAATCCTGGGGCCCTCACGGCCACGATAACCATAGACTTCACAAGCAACGTTGCATGTGCAGACCCGGGTCTTGGTTTGACGTCGATGGTGACTCTAGATTTTGTTATCGACGTCGACTACAGTTTCAACTCAGCGCGTAGGAGGCGCCAAATTAACGGACGCAATGCAGCGGCAACTGGACACCTACAGATTAACATATTGATAAATGGCAGAAGTAGTTGGGGTAGCGAGTTAGAGAACGAAATAGAGCTACCTGCGGAGGAAGATGAAAGTGGCACTCCTACAACATATAGCCCACATCAGCCTATCACTCTCGCACTTATGGTATGCGCTACAGCAGTTCTGCTTGCGAGATGATCTTTGGTGGATGGCTAATTATGAAGAGTTTGATTTCTGCCGTTAACAGCACACACATTAGAGTACGATTGATAATGTACAAGACCTAAACAGAGACATTGTTCAGTGTCAATGTGGAATGATCGACATAAGCATACGTTTTTCTACATCAAAAAGCAGAAAGTGTCGCGAGTATCCACAGAGAAACTATTAGACTATAAGCAAAGAGGCGAGCCTCACTACCCAAACAAAAACGTTCCTTAATAAGCGCCAATCAATCGCGCAAAATTAGTCCGTGTGCCATCGGGCACAAATAAAACTGCATATCAAAAACGAGAAAGTTGTGATTTGACGTATTTACAATCAGTAGGGATGCATGCATATAAGCTAGAGCCGCTTATACTAACACGGAATGACCTCCAAACTATTCTCTCGTAGTCTATATAAGAGATATGAATCTGCCCTACACTAGAAAACAGTAAGCACATACCGTGTTTAGATTTAGAAACTTAGTCCCCGCCTTCTATTATTCATTCGTTCGTTCGAGTACAGTAGGTAAGTGGTTATCTGCGTGTGCGATTCTGGTGTCCCGGTTGAAATACAGGGTCAGAATCTATATGCCATTCAAATTCAAAGTGGTCTCCATACAGTGGGCGTTACCTACGATAGGATGGGCCGAGGAATTCGCCTGTCTTGCAGTTTTTGCCCACAATCAGTACGTCAGCCTACAATGGGAACGATTGACACTAGCTCTAACCCCTATAGAACACATGCCAACTCAGAACCGCGGTGTCTACCCCATCTTCGCGCAAGATGGCTACGATCCCAGTCAACGTGTTTTCAGCGGATAACAACCTGGTATCCGTGAGCGAGTTAATCCGTGAGCGAGGAGATAAACCGAGTACTTCGCGTGTCTTGCGGCTATAACCACACAGATGCATTTCAGCTGGTAGGCGACCGTGAAACACCTCGTGAATGCATGCACCCCTGTGTATGTGGATATAGTATCATGGATAGAAGGGTGCGAAAGCAGTGACAAATGATTCAAGGTACACGTGTGCGGACACGTGAATATGTGAAGTCCTTCGCGTATCCTGTGCAAGTGACGAATTTAAATCCACCTACTACACTAAACCTTTCGACCATCACTTGCTGCGATCTACAAGGGCATACAGCCACATGGTTCACATACAGGCAACGTGTACAATCCAAGATACAGACAAACCAACAGAGGGAATATTCAATCCGAGGCAAGACTCAACACGTGTTGAAGTGCAATAACCGATGTAGGCTAACGGCCAGACCACAGACCTTTCAGCAGAACGGATTGCACTGTGAAGGGGCTCATATGAGTGCGCAGAATATATATCTGAAATACACATAGTACCAGCCTTGAAGTAACACGCAGCCAAAATGCTCACACCTTCTGAAGAGATGAAGAATATCAACCTTGTCGACCGACCGCGTGACAGACACTCAATGTATACTTGACGGATACGTATCTAATCGATACAGAATCAGAGACACATATCGTTATTTGCGTATCACAGACTCAGATACGTGGGCATCAATATCGAGGTTAATTTCCATTGTCTTGCTGTATGAAACCTCTATTTTGTGCGAGAACAGCGGCATGAACAACCAAAGGCAATCCATTCACCACTCTCACACACATGTTTCTTTTTAAGAGAAGCAGCATCTGAGAGATGTCGGGTTCAAGTACAACGTGCATGACGAGGCCATACATATAAAGGCAGAGGCGAACGTACTTAATAATACGAACATAATAAATGACTTTATTCTTTCTAGTGCCTTGCGAGGTATCAGTTTGTATTTGCGCCCCAGCTATGTCTTTACAAACAATCTAATAGTCCATTTCTCCGACGCAACAAGAGAATCAAGTAGCGTAGTTTGAACCACGCACACGACTTGAGAACGAGCTCTCAAGCAAATACACACCTGTGGGCATGTCATGGGGAATGTATCTGATTACATAGTCAGCGTACAAGAATGTATCTGATTACATAGTCAGCGTACAAGAATGTACCTGGTTACAGATTCAGCGTACAATTGGGTCAGCCGTGTCTGAATGACGAGAATAGGACAGGGTGGAGGTCTACAAGTGTCCTGTATTCATTTCGAAAGAATCGAAAGAGTTAAATTCAATACCAATGTGCCCATGGGAAATCAGGGAGAATGATACGCGTGTGTGCAGGAACTACCCAATTTACAAGCGAGCACCAATCGTAGCTAAGCACGTATTGAGTCGCCAATCACACTACCAGACTGGTTCCGGCTGATAGAATGGCCCGATGGCACGGATGATACACTGGAAAACAGAAACGCATATGACCAAACCATACGCTTTCCAATTGAAGATACAAAGCAAGTGTCTATTTCGTACTGTCAACATATCCCACATATATCTATAAGCACTATACAAACATGATTAGATCTTACGAAGCAAATACAGCCCGATTAAAACACATACCCAATGTCGCTCAATATCCATATTCTGCACAATATCCAAATTCAATAGAACATACTACTAAACTAAGATTAACATCACCATAAAATGGTACAAAACAACCACACGAAAGAATGTTCATGTCTACTGATACATTAATTTAGACGTATATGCAACACATACGTACATTCACGCTCTCATGTGTGTGCATGTTTATATATATGTACATATATATATATATATAATATATATATGTATGTAATTATGTTTTATTTATATATATGTGTATATATGTCTGTGTCGTTGTCTGT